CGCACTGATGATTCTATCGCAATGTTTCCTCGCAGCCTCAAATCCTTCCCTGAACAACCGCCTGAATTCTAAGAAAGACTGTCCTGTAGCACCACCCAAAACCTCTATATACTCTGAAGGGAATTTGAACGGAGCGGCTTCAAACCCGATGTTTCCAGGCGTATTGCTCAGTATAAATCCAAAGTCTATATGTACGAGGTGACCATCTCTATCTAGAAGGATGTTCCCGTTATGTCGGTCCTTTATCTGTAGAAGATAGGTGATGACAGAATAGCCTAGATTTAGTTTAGCATATGCGTTAGAATCGGAGGATACCAGATTTGCTAATTCACCTGCAAGAGATTTGGCAAAATTCCTTTGGGCACGAATGAATTTCGCAGACGAAGGATCGCCGTACGTCTATTTGGTTGCATAGCGATTCAGATTCGGATGTGACAATAAGGGGTAAACCGGACATACGCTTTTGAAATGATCAAATAAAGTGACGTGACCCAGTCGACCTTGAGCGATCCGACGAGCATATTCAGCTTTCTTGATGGAGTGAATGGAAGGAGCATCCGTTATCGTTTCCACTAGTCCAGAAGAGCCTCCCGTTATGAGAATATGGAAACTGATGAACATGAAGTACGGATTGTAAGCTAATAGAGGCGTTAAACCGACTTACTATCTTGCCCAGCATTGGCATTTTTCTTCCTCCCATATTCGTTGGAACTCACGGATGAGATGAGTTGCTAATTGTTCCTGCCGGAGATCACCGCCTGTCTTGACGATAACCGAAACGCAATCCCAGTTCGCTGACGGAGTATAAGACAACATATTTCTACCGCAAGCAATGGAAAATACTTACCGAGGTGTCCATATGGCGATCCATGCCTTATGCGGCTCTAGTATCAGATAGATGAGCGATTAGCGAGGCGCGTAGACCGAACCAAACCTTTTTGGCAGCCCAAGATTCACCCAAAACGACTGCAGAAGGATCTGCCTTGTTTATCTCCCTCCTAATGATACCCTCGTCTTCAGCAGTTTTCCTTCCACTGAGATTGTCTATTCGTATGAGATTATCCATCTCTCGATTTTCTCTCATCCGCTCCATCCGCTCCGCTTCCAATGCTAACATCTCCTGCATGATCCGTTCACGTATGGCAGAAGCTTCTGAGAGTTGTAGCCGCATTCGTGCTGGTTGGAGATGCTGTGATGGTTGATCTTGGGGACCTAACCCAGGGGAATTTTTGGAAGAATCTCCCGGCGTTGTTAACCAACTAGAACCTGGAAGCCAACTTATGGGACCCCATTGAGATTGGGACTCCGAGGATGCGCCATTCGTAACAGGTTCCCGAACAAGGTTGGCGTTGAGCTGGGCTAACATGATCGCAGCCGTCCGCATGCGTTCGGAATATTCATCAAGAGACAAGGCGGGACTATTATCGACGTGATCGGGGAGGGGTGACAGATGCGCGGAAGAATCAGAGGTACTGGATAGAGCACGGGCCATGGGAGTGCCGCGCTCCGGTGAAGGAGAAGGCGGAATTGACGAGGAGCGTGACCATGCAACCATATCGAGTTCCCTGTTCTTCGGAGTCGGAGGAAGCACGATAGAATCGGAAAGATCAACAGGTCGAGATCGGAGGGATTGATCAGATCCGTAGAGTTGTTCAACGAGGTCCATCTCTTCGTCAGATTCAACGGGCGATGAAGGCGTTACAGGCGAGGAGGGTGTAAAAATGGGAGAAAAGACTGGTACATGAACTGCAGCAGTCACGACATCGGTGTCATTGAGAGAGTCGGATTTGGGGTTGTGACGTGAAGGGAGTGGAGGAAATGAGATCAACTCCTTGGAGGCGCCCTTTTTTTCGTGTTCTTTGACAACTATTTTTTTTAAAACGTCTTTGTTGGCTCGTTTATTTGGATCGAAATCAAGGTCGTCGTTGAGGATTTCTATCAAAAGTACGTAGGGAGCGCGTTCGGCTGAGTTGAGAACGACACTTTCGCCGGGGGGGATTCGTACGATACGATGATGGGGTTGCGATCCACTCACAGAACGGGGAGAATCTGACGAGGAACACCACATAGGCATGCATACCTATGTACTGGCGTAAAGATGAAGATTAGACAAGACGGAGAAAACATACCTCAGCTGGAAGTTGGTGGTTCAAAGCGGTCAATTCTGCCCTTAGAGCACTTATTCGCGCCGGTCTTGGAATATCGAGAAGCCGGTTTGAAATACTTTCAAGAACTAGTAGAAACTGGATCTAAAAGACTGTTAAAGAAGAAGTGTATTAGTTGAAAGAAGACCCACCTCTGATCGACAATAATGGCTTCGAAGGAGATGTGTCTGTGACGGTCCATCGTAAGACTGTAATAGACCGTCTGCATAATTAGTCGACACGGAACGTGGAGGATGGCGTGACACGGAGACAGAAGGAGATGACTGATACGGCGAAACGATTTGTTCAGTGTCGAGTTGTCCCAAAGGATCCTCGGACAGGCGTGATTTGCGTATTCCACTAAGGTGTAAAGGTAAAGAGGGAGCTGTCTGAGAGGGACCAATGGCGCGATGTCTAACTGTCTTGACTTCGTTAGACATAAATCCTGGGGATGGCGTGTGGTCAGAATCGTCGCTGAGATCGTCAATCTCGTCGTGATCATCACAGGTCGAGTCCAAGGAAGCTTTGGTCAGAATTGGACTGGCAGCAGGAGCCACCTCGTCGCCATGTCGGTCGATGCTCCGGTACCCAGTGCTTTCATCTTCCACTCTGCCCTGCTCAATGGCGACTTGGCCTATGATTTCTGTCAGCCATGGCGTAGCTGGTGCACCTGACAGTACGACCCCGAGTCCCACGAGGGAAGGTTCAAAGTGATGCTTAACCTTCTTCCGAGTGAAGCGAGACTGGAAAGAAGAGCAGATGGACGAATAGGGTGCTGGAACTGGAGGAGGAAGGTCTCCAAATATAATCTCATGGCATTGATGAAGGATCCGCTGGCATATCAAGAATGACTTGGAATCGTGTCGCGTACCAGCAAGATCGCGGAGACTTGCTTGCATAAACCAGAGTGTCTGGCAAATAGATGACATTCAGTAAAGTGAAAGATATTGCAGACGTACTATCATCGCAATATGGGTCGACCGGTGCGCAATATCGACCACAAAACATTCCAGAGCGCGAGACTTGGACGGCCTGGTCACCAAAAGATGGCAGATAAAGCCCCAAACATCGGCAAGATCCTTGGTGTCAAGCTGGCGCAGACGCGAGGTGATGTAGTATGTGATTCCTATGTTGTCCGAGTAGAGAGCAAGGTACTGAAGGGCAACATGAACAGAGAAATAATTGATAAAGAGCCGAAGAAGAAGAGCATGGGACATGGAGGAGAAGATGACAGGACTTTCCCTACAGGGCCGCGTGTGATCACGACACGTTACTGAACTTTGCCTTCCACGTCCATCATCCATGTATTGGCGGTCACTCTGCGCCTCCGTTCTTTTACTCGTCCCTATCGTGCTTGCCGCCGACGACGTACAGGCCCAGCTCGTTAATCTAGCTGCCGCTGGCAACGGCCTCATCCGTCTCAATGCCCAAACATATGAATTATTGACCACCTCCAACCGCAACTGGTCTGCTGCAATCCAATTCACAGCTCTTGACAAGCGGCGTAGGTGCGAGCCGTGCAGGTAAGTACCTACATATGTCATCGCTGTACGCATCTTGTTGACTCCAAACAGGGAATTCGATCCGTCCTGGACTGCAGTTGCCAAAGCTTGGGCAGCTGTCCCCAAGGAACATCGTGACACCCATTTCTTTGGAACCTTGGACTTTGACGATGGCCAGACGGTTTTTGCACAGGTATGTAGTCCATCCTCTATGTCCTGACCACGCTCAGTCGTTTCCGCAGCTTGGAATGACCTCGGCACCAGTCGTCTACATGTATCCTCCAACCCAAGGTCCTCGACAGCCTATCAGTGGAAAATACAATGCAGTCAAATACGACTTTTCCAAGTATGTCATTCGTGTTTCCACCGGTCCTGTTCTTGACGTTCTGTAGTGGTTTCGAGGCTGGACCTCTGGCGGAACAACTTTCTAGTCATACCCCCGTCCCAATCCCATACAAGGCACCCATCGACTGGACTCGTTGGGCCACATACATTGCTGGTTTCTTGGGCTCCCTCTCCATCCTTCGTTATATCGCACCGGTTCTTAGAAACCGATGGACTTGGGCTGTCATCTCGATCCTGAGCTCACTTATCTTCACCTCTGGCTACATGTTTACACGCATCAGAAATGTGCCATACTCTGGTGCAAACGGTAATTGGATTGCTAATGGGTACCAAAACCAGTTTGGGCAAGAAGTCCAAGTCATAGCCTTAGTTTGTGCGTCGACTCGTCTGTTTGTATACAAAATTCGCTCATCTTTCGATGTAGATGGTCTACTCGCGTTCTCCTTCCTGATGCTTACCATTATTGTGCCTTACCAGACTTCTGCTGCTAGACAAAGGCTGCAGGTCTATCTATGGGTTGGAATTATCATGATTATCTATTCTGTCCTGGTCAGCATTTTCAGAGTCAAGAACAGAGGTAGGTTCAATGCCACTTTGCACATGATCTCAAGCTGACTTTTTTCCAGGTTATCCTTTCCGTTTGTTCCTATAGACCCGTTCCTTGCCGTGCTAAAAGCCGGCTCAAAATATAGTAGATATGAAAGCAAATGATATTAGCTTGGAGCAACATGTACTACAAATCATACATGTTAAGGCAAATATATACTATCTCTGCGTACGGAACCTACCTCATCTTCTCAGAGATGCAATATCAGTCCTGTGTTTGATGCCATTGAAATTGTTCAAGAGTTACCACACTTACCCGTCTTGTACTGCATTGTTGACTGCCATGTATGGTGGGTCTTAAATCTCTTGAATAAGAGAGTTATAATCCATGAGTATGCTGGACAAATGAGGACGATGAGATGCGATATCGCTACAGAAAGCTATATTGGAAATTGGACTCATCGCCCGCATAGCTCAGTGGTAGAGCATTGTACTTATGAGGATAAACCATTCATGCGCCATGCAAGGGTCTCCAGTTCGATCCTGGGTGGGGGCAGTTTTTTTCCTGCCGACATTAGGCGCAACCGAGAAAATTTCAGTGGTCAGTGGTCACTGAGCCTCACTGGCTCAGGAGTCAGTCCTTATTTTGCTGTCTAAGGTTGTGCACGCCGTGCGTGGACAAACAGAACCCTGCACGATGCATTTGCGTAGCCTGACCCAGTTCGAATTCGGAGCCATGTCTACCTTCTGGCCATCTCATGACAAAGCTCAAATCGTGACGGGTAGCTATGTCGCCGCTCCTTTACCAATAGTCCTCATATTACAGACTTCTCTCTGTCATAAGCGGTAAAACATGCTTGGCTTCCATCTACAACATACGGCCCCGGCATTTCAAGGTACGTGCCTGGATACAGAATAGAATAAGCGTTTTTGAATTCCAATACTATGCGTTTTGTAAACTAGTCTTCAGAAAACCATCCTTACAACTACTTTAACTAATCTCCTCTCCCAAGCTTATCTAGCGAGCGAACACCCTGCTCAAACCATTCTTCGCGCGTTATCCAGAACTCTTCTCGGCCTTTCATAATATCCGCTAGAACGGCACCACCAAGGAAGACCATATGTTTCCTCCGGGGAGGGTCCTCGATCTTGATTTTGAATTTCTGTGAAGCATAGTACTGTCAGAATTGTATAGCAGCAAGGAACAAATGCTCACATTCAACCGTGAAGGATCACCCTTGAGCACCTCGACAAGATAGAGTTGCTTCATCTCTTTCTCTAGCCTACTGGGAAGTCCTGGGTACATGCTCGACCCTCCAGAGAGAACCACGTGCTTGTAAAGCTCTGAGCGGACGTCGACAGCGGCGGCCTGGATGGTTTGGAACAGCATTTCTACGTTGAAGATTTTTATATGTGAGTGGAGAAGAAGACGCAAGGTCGTACCTGCGACGCCGGGCTGTTCTACATCGATGAGGTGGGGTTGGAACATACATTCTGGAGCTTCGAAACGCTCCTCTGCAACTTTAATTGTCCGTCCGTCAGGGAGCTGTTCGCTTTATTAGTTTAAAGCTATACATATCAAGGGGCCTGACCTGATAGCTTTCGACTAGCACTGTAGTTTCCTCTGAAAGACGTGTATCAAGTTCTAGGTCGTAGCTAACGACAAGTCATCAACTGCAATCTTTTGTGGGGTCAGAATAGCTCACCTGACGTAGCAAAGTTTCTCCTTGATTGCGCGCACCGTCTCAAAGTCTGCTGTTCGATTCAATGCATAACCTCGTCTGAGCAGCAGCTTGATCAGATATTTGGTTACGTCGCGCCCTGCGATATCGAGTCGCCGTGTAAGATGAGGCATCGCAAATCCGTCGTATACTGGAACAATATGAGTGACGCCGTCTCCAGAGTCCACGACAACGCCCGTTGTCAAACCTTTCAAACGGTGAGCGTAGCTAGATATACCGGCAAGGCAACGCACCCTGAGCATACAGCGTCAATACTGCTTGAATAGCGACATACACCCCTTCAAACCCGTATTCCTCGAACATTACTTGGCACATCTTCTGCCTGTTCACCTTTGGATTCATTGGGGGCTCCGTCAACAGGACCTTCCGCCCCCTGGGATCTACTTTGAGCTTCTCATCAAAGGTGTAGTCCCACAAATGCTTCATGTCTTCCCAGTTGCGCACAATCCCATGCTCCATCGGCTGTGTTATCTGAAGGTAGTTTCGGCTCTCTGCTGCTTCGTCGCCGATCATGATATCTTTAATAGTCGCGTTGCCAACTCGTTCTTCAGCTCGGAGAATGGGGCGACCAACAATGGAAGGGAATACTGAGATATTGTGAGGACGATGAGCAGCAGGGTAAACAAGCTCATGACGCACCATGCTCAGGAAAGTTGGAGCCTGCATACCCGACTTTGACGAACTGCGCAGGATGAGTGGGTACGTCTAAGGTGAGAGTTGGATACACGTACACCGGTACCGTTGTCGACGACGAGAGGTCGCCCAGGATCCATTATTATCGGTAGGGAAGAGGTAGAGAGGTGATGTCAAGGATGCTCGTAGCAGTTGTCGTCGGGATTCGGCCGGCGGCTTGTTTGGCGCGATTTGTCTGGCACGTCGTGTGCAATGCCGATGATGTCATTGACTCGGCTTTGAATGATGCTTAGAGGCAGTATTCGGCGTCTTGCTGCTCGACGTCTGTACTCGTCAGATGCAGCGTACAACATTGAGGCGCTGGACAAATGGATTGCCTCCCCAAAACAGTACATTTTGAACGACACTCTCCACCCAGAGCATCTATTTGATCTCTATGTGACTCTTCCTACTCGCGATGGAACACGCAAACCGTTCCATGCGCCTGAGCCGTCGACACCCATGGGATATGGTCACCATACCACATTCTTTTACCCTCGCATTCCTGAGCCCTTCCTGCGTAGAGACGGCACGGATGCAGATTTCTGCCCTCCGGAACCGTTCACGCGCAGGATGTGGGCAGGCGGAAAGATATCGTGGATGGCGGGGAACCCTCTGCTTGTTGGTGGCAAAGCGACTGCAAAAATGACCGTAGGCTCTGTCGAGAAAAAGAACTTTGATCATGGACGTCCTATCGTGTTCGTGAACAAGAAAATCGAGATCTCCATGAAGGATTCCGCGGTGCCTTCTGTGGTTGAAGAAAGAGTACACGTCTATTTGCCCGTTGCTGCTGCAGTTAAGAAGGTACCTCGTCAAGGTATGCACAACGATCTTCAGGGATTCCCTCTAATATATGAAACCTAGTTCCTGGGATACCAGACTCGTCTGATTTCTCATTCACATACAAGCCAACGCTGACAACATTGTTTCGATTTTCTGCGCTCACCTTCAATGCCCACCATATCCATCTGGACAAGGATTATGCGTGCCGCTTTGAGGGATATCAAGGTCAGTTTGACAGAGTGCTGATGCATCTAGGTTCTGACCCATTCTGTAGAGCGTCTGGTTCATGGACCTCTTACTGCCCTCATGATGCTTGAAACAGCTACTGACCAAAACCCAGGTGTTGAAATCAAAACATTCGAATATCAGGCCACGAATTCCCTCATCGTTAACCGGGAGCATACAATTTTTGGACAGTGGACTGGCGATAAGGCATTTATGTGGTGCCAAGATGAAGATGGAGTGGTCGGCATGACGGGTACGGTGACCTTTGGCTGAATGCAGTGTGGGACTCATACTGGAAAGACAAAGGATGGTTTGGGTTACATGTAGAACATTCAACAGATATACAAAGAAATATATGATACATTTACATCTTAACGCATAATTCTACATCTCTATCTGATCTCGGGGCCAATCCACCATGTATGTTAGGGAGAACTTCGAGCCGAGTCATAGTATGTGGTGAGAGTGTGTAGCCCCTGTTTAGACGCGTCGTGGCACGTGATGAGTATTGAAACTCCGCGCGTTATTTATATTGGCTTGTCTGTTTGTTGCCGTCGAACCGCCCTTGACCAGAACCACCACCACCATCTCAAGTTCTCACCACTACCTCACTCATCCTTAACCGCAATGGCTCCCAAGGTATGTTATGCATGCTTTATCGCCCATATTACCCGTCTCATGTCCATGTAGCCCGCTTCGACCGCTTCCAAAGCTCCGGCTTCAACCGCTGGTAAGGCGCCAGCCAAGACAGATACCAAAGCTGCGAAGAAAACTGCCAGCAAGAGCAAAGCTGCCGCACCGGCTGATGGCGAGAAGAAGAAGCGCAAGAAGTCGAGAAAGGAGACTTACAGCTCGTATATCTACAAGGGTACGCGTCGGTTAGCTTATCCTGGATCGTGACTCGTGCCCTGACGCGTCGTCTATTGTTCAGTGTTGAAGCAGGTTCACCCCGATACCGGTATCTCCAACAAGGCGATGGCCATCCTTAACTCCTTCGTCAACGACATCTTCGAACGTGTTGCTACTGAGGCTTCTAGTGCGTTGTGATTCGGCTTCGTTGTCACGTATTCATTCTGACTCACCAATCACAGAGCTCGCTGCCTATTCCAAGAAATCGACCATTTCTTCCCGCGAAATTCAGACCAGCGTTCGTCTCATTCTTCCCGGTGAACTGGCCAAACATGCCATTTCTGAGGGGACTAAATCTGTCACCAGTATGTGTCTCATCGTTTTCGCCAGGATCATATTTTCAACGTATTGAGCAGAATTCTCTGCCGGTGGCAAGTAAATGGGAATTCATATCCGTAGCCGGATGGTACCTTCATTTTATCTTTGCTTTGTATTCTAGTCACTATCCTGACGGGCTACGTACTATCTATATATTATAGAGCATATCTAGTCTTGTCGCACATTTGTAGCTCGGGCATTTATATATTTTTATACAGATGTAGGGATGTGCATAATAAGGGATGCAATTAGAACCCTGCAACTGTGAATTAGAACAAGACAACGTGTAAGGCAGTCGTACTTACCGTACTTGTTCCCAGCCTCCTTGCGGTTGCGCCTGCCTTCTGCAATTTTGTCTTCCAAGAGTTCTCTGTTCTCGTATGCTTCCTTGAGCATCGTCGACAGTTGATGCCTAGAGCGGGCAATACCGCTTAGCTTGGACGCCTGGAACAACAACATTGAGCAAGGAATATAGGCCAAACAACAGGTAAACTGACATTGATGTTCATTTTCGGTTTATCAGGAGCACCTCCGGCACCCTTCGTTATCGCCTTCCTCTCTTCTCTCTCCTTGATCTCCTTCTTGGCTCGCTCCATCTCCTTCTTGGCATCAACGTCCTCCATGTCTTCTTTCTCCATTCCCTCGAAGCCTTTCGCAACGCCCTTCTCCAAAGCCCGAACTTGATCATTGTATTCCTTTTGCCACCTCTTCAGGACAGTCGCATAATACTCCGGTTCATGCGCCTTCCATACGCCTGACGGGAGTTGGTAATACCCTGGATACTCGTCGTTCATCGTCGGTTCAGGTGGTTCGAAGGTGGGAATGGCTGGCGCCGAAGAGACGCTGATAGAGGATGAGGATGAGGATGAGTCAGTGGGTTTAGGTGCATTGGCTACGCCTAAGTATA